TTCACAGGGCCGGGTGGTTGTGCGGCCAGTGGCTGGCTGATTTTCTTTGGCTGTCTCTTCCCTTCTGTCTATCGAACTATTTCTGTCTGTCTTCTCTATCTCCCCGGTATACATAATACAGTTTTACAGGTTTGCCATCACAAATTGGCAATGGTTATTCGGGTTTCCCTTCGTTTTCGGCATAATTTTGGCTGCATAAATTTAATTTTCAGGGGCGCCAACCCAACCCGCTGGCATGTTTGGGGGCCTACTTGCTGCATAAATCATTCCAAATTTTTTTTTTCCATTTATTGTTATAACCTTTACTTTTAGCCCCGCCATGGTTCCCAAAGAAAAAAAGAAATGCTTCTCATTATGTAAAACCCTACCTTTCTTTTTCTATTAAAGATAAGGTGGGTTTGAAGCACTGTGGTTGCCCTGAGCTCGTCTCATGAAGCAGAATATGCTTAATTATTTTTTTTTTTTACTAATATCAACACTACAGTTTATTTGCCCATCAAATTGATCTAAAAGACATAAAAACAATATAAATAAAAATAAAACATGTTAAATATCCAGAATGAATAAAATTTGGCATAATACGAGCAGTTCGACAGAGTTGTGAAAAAGGGATTGGTTTTTCAAATCCCTTCTCCTATCCCCGTCTTGGGGCTTTATTAGGAAAAAAAGAGTATAGCAAGGGGTAATGGTATAACCCCCCACTCCACCCTAACCTGAAACAAAAAAATTTTTTTCTCTCTTTGATTATCACCATAGCAGCATATATGTGAGAACCCAGGATAACCAAAAAAAGTCACGTGGGGTTATTTTTGCCCTGGCTTGGGTTGTATATGATTTTTGGGAAATTTCGATTTCCCGCCGGGTAAAAAATTAGGCGTGTTTCTTTACAGCTGTTGTCTATGTTTACCCTCAGTAAATGGGTATGGGGGTTAGCCGATAGTGTGGGGGGTTATCCTGGGAACTGACCCAATTTTTTTGAAAACTCAGCATAACAAGCGGCTTTTATATGTAGTATGTTATGATGTCAGCTAGGCCCTTTTAAACCCGTAATGTATGTGTAGTAAATAAAGATATTTTTTTAATTATTATTTTAAAATTTTTTTTTTCGTTTTTTGTTGGGTTATCTTTTCAAATTGGGCAAAAGTATGATGGAAAGAACTTCTTCCGTACCCAAAAAATGAAAAAATCAGCCCTAAAAAGCCGAGTTCATTCTCAGCCATTAGGGGTTAGCGGTATATTTTTGTTGGTTTGTCATGGTTATATTTTCATTTTTCGGTTCATTTTTACAGAATGAAAAATATATTAAGAAATTTGATATGTTTTGATTTCTTTCATGACGAAAAGTCCTTGAAATTGGTCCAGTAGCGAAAAAAAGTTCTTTTCTTTTGCGAAGTCAAGAGTAAACAAATGACGTCACCGTCCAATACCTGTCGCCTGCCGTCCCCAAAACGGGGGTCAAGAATGCCTTGACATTATTTATACAATTTTCATAATGCGTAGTTGCATAAAAGTAAATCTTTTATTTTTTTGTAAAAAAAATTCCAAAAGCAAGGTAAAATAAGAGGGGCCCGTGCCCTGTAATGAAAGAAGAAAATGTTTTTTAGTTTCAGGAAAGTCGCATTGTTTATTTTTGGGCCCCATTTGAAATTGGGATCTGTTTTAAATTTTTGTGAAATCACCAAATTGCCCAATTTTTGACCATTCATGGGTAGTTGAAATAAATGAAAGGGCGGTTTTTTGTACTCATTTTCAAACTAGAAGTAAATAAGTTTATTCAGGTATACACAAATACGTTACTGATTATCTACATACAGGTATGTATGGGAACTAGGATAACCAGAAAAGGAAATGACTTATTTCCAGTAGTACCCGGTTGGGGTTGCCTATATGATTTTTGGTCATATTTTTTTCCGGTTGTTGTTGGGCTATCTCATTGAAACTTGGGTAAAGTATTGGAAAGATGCTTTTAACGACACCAAAAAAAAAAAGACGGCGTAAAAAAAAGGGGTTCACTTTCAGCATTTTGCCGCCTCTTTGCAGTCTTTTTGTAGGTTTTTGGTTGATTCTCATTTTTTTGGACTCATTTGATAGAATGGAAAATTATTCGAAAAGGGGATGTTTTGATTGCTTTCATGGAAAAGACTTGAATTGAGTCAAGAGGGAAATGTTGATTTTTGCCGAGTTCAATGAATGGTTTAAGTCAAGTGGTTAATTTTTTTAAATGTATTCTAACCTAACCACTCGTAAACCAGCAAACTGTAATCCGGAAAATAAGGTCCCGTGATGCCGGATTTGTGATGGAGGACTTTAGTGTAAATCACCTGGATAACCCAAAAAAATCCAGACAAGGCTATACTATGCTTGTAGTAAAGGGAAATAAGCATGTGGCAAGTTTCCAACTTTTCACCCCTTCAAAGGGGTTCCATTTACTCCAGCTTTCTAAAAAATTGCTGGGCCTGGCAAAACAGGCAAAAATAATTTCTTATTTATAAATACTTTTTTTATTTAAAACCCCTAACAAAAAAAAAATTGGGGTGGTATTTTGGGGGCTGGAAGGATTAATGGCATTTCAATTATTTCAATGAGAAAAATTTTTTGTATACCCGAGCAAATTGGTTTGGTCGGTACACTGTATCTTTAAAAATTTGATTTTAAGTTTAATAAGGTGAGGTAACGAAGTGAATGGAAAGTAGGTCTCCCCTTTCTTTTTGGGGGAAAAAAAAAAAACATTCTGGCCCTTGGGGGATAAAGCAAACCCAATTAAAGTGTAAAACACGCAATTCATTTTTATATTACAAATTCCACATTTCTTGATAAATTTACCCCAAAAAAAAATTGACCTTACACACATGTACAAATGTCCCTAAAAAAAAAAAAAAATGAATTTGGTTTAAAATTACCCGAAAAGTGTAAATTAAAAAAATAATGAATTTGCTAGAAAGTGGGAATCATCACAGATGCCAATGACAGGTTTCTTTAGGGAGATTATGAAGAGAAGTTGGAAAGGTTGGTAGAGAAATTTGGGAGGAAAGAGCTAGTAACTCCTTCTCCTGTATAAATAACTAAATTTAAAATGAAAAACTTTTGTTTTTCTTTTTGGGTCACCCTTCCTCAGTGGGATAGGGGCAGTATTTTAAAAAATATAATGTATAAGAAGGAAACAGAAAGCATAGGAAAGAGCAAGATGATGAGGGTGACAAAAAATTTAGACAACAAAGATTGGATATGAAATTGGAGGAAGTACCGTGTTCAGATACAGCGGAATGTCGGTTTCCATCTTCAATTCGTTCCAGAAAGTCTGACGAAAACTGAATTCAATGAAGACTGAAGCAATATTTCCCCTAGGAAATTATGTAAATCCAATTAATCAGTTCCAGACACCCAAAAGTAATAACAAAAAATACATTTTATAGAGAATAACTATAGTTTTACATTGCCTGGATAGAACTGATCGTTGATGAGGACTTCCTGTACATCCTGACAAGATCGACCACACGTACACCACTTTCATACTTGGCTACCACTTTTTTTTTTTAATTGTATTGTGTTTCTCACCTTCTTTATCAAAGGGCTGGCACTAAGAACTTTCTTTACACCATGGATTATTACGAAATGTTTCATATGAACGTGCAGGGTAATGTTCACTCGACAAGAAACAAAGCCAGACTGGCTCAGAACGTGTGCATGGGATGCTTTGTGTGGGCGCAGGCAGGTGTACACATTCAGTACAGCGGACGAAACCTGGGACAAAATTTTGACGAAAAAAGTCGTCGAAAATGAAATTCAACAAAAACCAGGGCAAACGAAAACTGATGCTCCACTGTACTGTATTTGGAGTGGACTTATCAGCAGATGGGTTATGAGAGATTAGGTGAGAGAAAAAAAGGTATGGTGCACTGAAGAATCTGTGGAGAAGAACTTTATCCATGGAAGCAATAAAATGAATGTATCAAGAGTATATGGATGTAAAGCAATGGGTTTTAAATGTTGCAGAGGCAGATGTGTGGTGGGAATATTATATAAATCCAGAGTGTGGAGATTAAGTGCTGGGTTGAGATGGCTTCAGTATGTAGAGAGGATGGAACAAATGAAGATGACTAGAGGGTATATAAATCTGGGGAAGAGAGAGAAGGGAAGGGGCTATCCAAGGGCTGGAGAGAAAGGTTAAAAATTTTGAATGCTAGGGGATTGAGAATTCAACAGGCACGTGTGAGTGCGTTAGATCAGAGTGGAAGTAAGTGATTTTTGTGACGATATGCTTTGGGAGTGTGACCAGGGTAACATTTATAAAGATATTTGGGAAAATCAGCTACCCAGACTTGAGGTGGGAAGAGCAATGCTTGCACTCTAATGGAGAGGAAATGGGGATGTTGCAATTCGGAAGGCCATCTAAGCTGTGATGGTAGCATGCTTCTAGCAAGACAGTAATTGAATCAATGATAATGAACATTTTTTTTCCTTTTTTTGGCCAAAATTTTAATGACTTTTGCCTCATTTTTATATAGTTCTAATAGTTGAATGGGGGTTCCATGTGCTTAAACAATAGATTGAATGGTGCACTAATGAAACAGTTAGAAATTTGATTAAATGAAGTGGACAAAATCACCTAGGAGTAAATTGCAGTTTTCCAAAATTTTTGCACTTTTGGTATCATTACCTTAAAAAATAGATTCTGTTATTTCATTTATTGTTTTAAATGGGACATGGCAGCAATATTAATTTTTGGAGTTTGGAAAGTAAATTGGTTAAGTTATTCTTGAAAATTTGTTTTGTCAAGTATTTAGCATGTTTGACAAATGAAATAGCACCATAAATCTTTCCTGGAATTTTTCCAAGATGTATTGAACATTCCCTAATGAAAGCAATGTAACAAAGAACATTTGCATTACTAGATTTTTACATAACAAAACAGAATAAATTCAAATGTCTCTGATACTTTTCTACAAAAAAAGGGGGTTAAAATGTTAAATAAAAAAAAATTTAATTTAAATTTACATGAATCAGGTTATTTTAATGATACAATATTTGAAAACATACGGCTGGGCAAATTCAGGGAACCCTTGTTCTTCATTGAAGTCTGTACCCCCAAATGAGCAGCCTCACGTTCCTGGACGGCATATTTTCCTCCACATTACGCTTGACAACGCAATACGAAAATAAGGATCACGAGGAGGAAGACAATGGCAAGCATCATGCCAATAAACCAACCATGAGTTGCAATATTCTCAGATGGGACACGAATCACTCCCGAGGTCTGAAAGTATTAATAGAGGATATGAGATTTTAAATCTGCTGACATAAAAAAAGTATATTTTCACTTACCTCCAAGCTTAAAAAAAAAAAAAAATCCAATGCCAAGGATAACTGTTTTAAAGTTACATTTAAAACTATTAGCAAAACCTTTTTCCAAGACAAATGAAGTTTTATAGCTATCAAAATAAAAAAAAAATACTTGTGTCTTGTCTCACTCCCAGTAATTTTACGGTTAAAAAAAAGTGGTATTGTAGATTGCTACCCACAAGAGCTTGGGCCTACAGCCAAAGCTTAGTTGCAGCACCCTCAAGATACACAGCACCTGTACAGGGCTCTGGAGAAAGCCAGCACTTTGTCCAAGGTTTCAGGAGCAGCAACCCCAAAGGGATCTGACACAACTAAAGCCATTTCATAAGCACATCAGAAGAAAAATGACAACAGATGATCAAGTAAAAATACTAAGAAAAGACAGGAAAACACTAGCACAAAATTACATGGGTATGCCTCAAGCTTGCCAGAAGATTCCAGGGTACAGTAGAACCTCCATATCTATGGTTAGTCCAATTTCAATAATTTTATTATTGTAAGTTAAGAGGATGGTCCAAAGTGTATACTAGAAGTATCATGAAGTTTGCCATAAAATAATGATTTTCGATATGGAAATACCTTGTTAATGTTTAGGATGTTGTGGTCAACTTTACATGAACAAGTAAAGATAAAGATGAATTGTATAGAAGAAATTAAATGACATATTATATTGTACCCCCAAAATTCATTCTTTTTTTTTTTGGTATTTTAAAATAAATAAAACAAATGGTAAAGGCTATTACAAATTCCCTTCACAAGATTGTAAAACCGTAACTCCTGAATAATCATAACAATGTACTACTGTATTCATTATTTTTTTTTTTTTTTTTTTATTATCACACCGGCCGATTCCCACCAAGGCAGGGTGGCCCGAAAAAGAAAAACTTTCACCATCATTCACTCCATCACTGTCTTGCCAGAAGGGTGCTTTACCCCTACCCGTTTTTAAACTGCAACATTAAAACCCCTCCTTCAGAGTGCAGGCACTGTACTTCCCATCTCCAGGACTCAAGTCCGGCCTGCCGGTTTCCCTGAATCCCCTTTATAAATGTTACTTTGCTCACACTCCAACAGCACGTCAAGTATTAAAAACCATTTGTCTCCATTCACTCCTATCAAACACGCTCAAGCATGCCCGCTGAAGCCAAGCCCCCCGCACACACAAAACCTCCTTTAACCCCCCCCCCTCCAACCCTTCCTAGGCCGACCCCTACCCCGCCTTTCCTTCCACTACAGACTGATACACTCTTGAAGTCATTCTGTTTCGCTCCATTCTCTCTACATGTCCGACCACCTCAAACACCCTTCCTCGCCCTCTGGACAATTTGTTTTGGTAAATCCCGCACCTCCTCCTAACTTCCAAACTACGAATTCTCTGCATTATATTCACACCACACATTGCCTCAGACATGACATCTCCACTGCCTCCAGCCTTCTCCCTCGCTGCAACATTCATCACCCACGCTTCACACCCATATAAGAGCGTTGGAAACTATACTCTCATACATTCCCCTCTTTGCCTCCAAGGACAAAGTTCTTTGTCTCCACAGACTCCTAAGTGCACCACTCACTCTTTTTCCCTCATCAATTCTATGATTCACCTCATCTTTCATAGAACCATCCGCTGACCGTCCACTCCCAAATATCTGAAAACGTTCACCTCCTCCATACTCTCTCCCTCCAATCTGATATTCAATCTTTCATCACCTAATCTTTTTGTTATCCTCATAACCTTACTCTTTCCTGTATTCACCTTAATTTTCTTCCTTTTGGGACACCCTACCAAATTCATCCACCAATCTCTGCAACTTCTCTTCAGAATCTCCCAAGAGCACAGTGTCATCAGCAAAGACAGCTGTGACAACTCCCACTTTGTGTGTGATTCTTTATCTTTTAACTCCACGCCTCTTGCCAAACCCTCGCATTTACTTCTCCCTTTCAACCCCATCTATAAATATATTAAAAACCACGGTGACATCACACATCCTTGTCTAAGGCCTACTTTTATGGGAAAAAATTTCCCTCTTTCCTACATACTCTAACTTGAGCCTCACTATCCTCGTTTAAAAACTCTTCACTGCTTTCAGTAACCTACCTCCTACACCATACACTTGCAACATCTGCCACATTGGCCCCCCTATCCACCCTGTCATACGCCTTTTCCAAATCCATAAATGCCACAAAGACCTCTTTAGCCTTATCTAAATACTGTTCACTTATATGTTTCACTGTAAACACCTGGTCCACACACCCCCTACCTTTCCTAAAGCCTCCTTGTTCAATTTTGCTATCCTATTCTCCGTCTTACTCTTAATTCTTTTAATTATAACTCTACCATACACTTTACCCGGTTTCACTCAACAGACTTATCCCCCTATAATTTTTGCATCTCTTTTATCCCCTTTGCCTTTATACAAAGGAACTATGCATGCTCTCTGCCAATCCCTAGGTACCTTACCCTCTTCCATAACATTTATTAAACAATTGCACCAAAACCCCTCCAAAACTATATCCCCACCTGCTTTTAACATTTCTATCTTTATCCCATCAATCCGGCTGCCTTACCCCTTTCATTTTACCTACTGCCTCACGAACTTCCCCCAAAACTCACAACTGGCTCTTCCTCACTCCTACAAGGGTGTTATTCCTCCCTTTCCCTATACACGAAATCACAGCTTCCTATCTTCATCAACATTTAACAATTCCTCAAAATATTCCTTCCATCTTCCCAATACCTCTAACTCTCCATTTAATAAAATCTCCCCTCCTATTTTTAACTGACAAATCCATTTGTTCTCTAGGCTTTCTTAACTTGTTAATCTCACTCCAAACTTTTTTCTTATTTTCAACAAAATTTGTTGATAACATCTCACCCACTCTCTCATTTGCTCTCTTTTTACATTGCTTCACCACTCTCTTAACCTCTCTCTTTTTCTCCATATACTCTTCCCTCCTTGCATCACTTCTACTTTGTAAAAACTTCTCATATGCTAACTTTTTCTCCCTTACTACTCTCTTTACATCATCATTCCACCAATCGCTCCTCTTCCCTCCTGCACCCACTTTCCTGTAACCACAAACTTCTGCTGAAACACTCTAACACTACATTTTTAAACCTACCCCATACCTCTTCGACCCCATTGCCTATGCTCTCATTAGCCCATCTATCCTCCAATAGCTTTTAATCTTACCCTAACTGCCTCCTCTTTTAGTTTATAAACCTTCAACTCTCTCTTCCCTGATGCTTCTATTCTCCTTGTATCCCATCTACCTTTTACTCTCAGTGTAGCACAACTAGAAAGTGATTGATATATCTGTGGCCCCTCTATAAACATGTACATCCTGAAGTCTACTCAACAGTCTTTTATCTACCAATACATAATCCAACAAACTACTGTCATTTCGCCCTACATCATATCGTGTATACTTATTTATCCTCTTTTTCTTAAAATATGTATTACCTATAACTAAACCCCTTTCTATACAAAGTTCAATCAAAGGGCTCCCATTATCATTTACACCTGGCACCCCCAAACTTACCTACCACACCCTCTCTAAAAGTTTCTCCTACTTTAGCATTCAAGTCCCCTACCACAATTACTCTCTCACTTGGTTCAAAGGCTCCTATACATTCACTTAACATCTCCCAAAATCTCTCTCTCTCCTCTGCATTCCTCTCTTCCTCCAGTGCATACACGCTTATTATGACCCACTTCTCGCATCCAACCTTTACTTTAATCCACATAATTCTTGAATTTACACATCATATTCTCTTTTCTCCTTCCATAACTGATCATTTAACATTACTGCTACCCCTTCCTTTGCTCTAACTCTCTCAGATACTCCAGATTTAATCCCATTTATTTCCCCCCACTGAAAACCTCTCCTACCCCCTTCAGCTTTGTTTCGCTTAGGGCCAGGACATCCAACTTCTTTTCATTCATAACATCAGCAATCATCTGTTTCTTGTCATCCGCACTACATCCACGCACATTTAAGCAACCCAGTTTTATAAAGTTTTTCTTCTTCTCTTTTTTAGTAATTGTATACAGGAGAAGGGGTTACAGCCCATTGCTCCCGGCATTTTAGTCGCCTCATACGACACGCATGGCTTACGGAGGAAAGATTCTTTTCCACTTCCCCATGGACAATAGAAGAAATAAAAAAGAACAAGAGCTATTTAGAAAAAGGAGAAAAACCTAGATGTATGTATATATATATATGCATGTGCGTGTCTGTGAAGTGTGACCAAAGTGTTAGTAGGAGTAGCAAGATATCCCTGTTATCTTAGCGTGTTTATGAGACAGAAAAAGAAACCAGCAATCCTACCATCATGCAAAACAATTACAGGTTTTTGTTTCACAGTCATCTGGCAGGACGGTAGTACTTCCCTGGGTGGTTGCTGTCTACCAACCTACTACCTGTATTCATAAGCAATGAAAATTTTACTAACGGGAGAATAACTTACTTTTGAGAAAAATAATAAAATTTATTAGTGGTTGAAATTTTATGAGAAAAAACGATCTTCTTAAATCCTCCCCAGATAAAACACCAATTCGCCCCCTTTAAAGCTTAGATTAAAATTTATCATAAAAAGTAATACTAATATAGGGGGCCCCCATTTATACGGCAGGTTTGGTTCCAGGTTTACCGCCATAAAGTGGAACACCGTTTTTTTTTTTTTCATTTTTAAAATGCTATAAATACTAGATAACAAATTTACACAACATATATTAATTAGCAACAAACTGGCATTAAAAAACGATAAGTAAAATACACCAAAGTACACTCATTACTTCCTTAAGATTTTTTGTAGTCTTAATCTAGGTGAATGATTATTTTTTGTAAGAAATAAGTGGGGTATTATGGTAGCCAGCCAGGACCATACCGGGCCACCCCCCCACAAAAAATATT